ATATATTTGTATATGTACATGTCTTTATCTAGAGCTCTATAAATACCCTTTGCCTCCCAGCTCTTTCCTCTATTTCCATTGATTCTCCTCCTGTAAAATTTTTATTCCTTCTCTTTTTAAACCATTAATGTTTTTAGTTCTTATTTTGAAGCAGTACTTTGATCCACTAATATTTAGGATGAGAAATGTATTTTTGAAGTGTAATTAGTTAATACATTTTTATTTCACAGTATAACAGCTTTTAATGATGTATCAGCTATAATCTGCTCAAAATGAGTATAAATTGCTGTAGTTTTTACTTATAAATTATATTTATTCAGGAGATCTCAGTGGAAAATAATTTTTGCCTACTTTAAAATAGTATATTATATGAAATTCTAAAGTGGATATTTTAATATAGTTCATGAAAAATCGGACTCATTGTAAGTTGTTATTTGATCCTGGAATCAATCTCTCTGACATTAACATCTTTAATAAACAGCTGAGTAACAGCTACATTAATAGTATTAGATAGAACTAAGACATCATCCCTATTCACTAGCCTTATATTTCCTCAATAACCTAATTTTCCTTTCATAAGATATTAATGCTTTTGGAACTCTTCCTCTTAATCATATTAACTCCTAACCTAGCATTTAAAAGTACATGAGGAAATATACAAAGTCAGTCAATTTCACTGAGATATTTATTAAATCACTAAAAGTAAATCTAAGTGTTTTAAGGTTGCTAATACAGAACTTCATCCGAAAATGTTTTTTGGATTAATACCAAAAGCTATGGTTTGCTTTGGTTTCCTTGACTTTATAAATGCGCTGAGCTGAACTGTGCTATCCGCAATACACTACGATGCCCAGGCTAGCAGGCAAAAATGTGTGTCTATTTTTCTGTGTTGCACAGTAAAGATCTACATTTAGAGGAGGGGCAGGGAGACATGGTCCACACTGTCCAATGTGCGGTGTTGATTGATGAAATGGGTCTCTGGTGACTAAGCTGAATGAGATCGTTAAACCCAAGGTAGCACTGTATCTGGGGCATAAAAGGAAGTCTCCGACTCTCCCCCAATGAGGAGAAAGAAGTAGAGCTTGAAACTCACAGGGGTGGCGGGAATTGACTTTAAACATACTTTAATTCTAGAAGTTTCCCAACAAAGGCACAGGTTGGGTAGGTACCGGACCACAAACACATTCTAAGATTTATAAAGCCACATATCTACATAATCCCATTTTATTCTATGCGTAAGCATGGTACCGGATCTTCATCAATATCTGAGAACTAATTTTCATGCAGTATACAAAGAAATCCAGCCACCTCTATCTGGCACGACAGGCACACTCATTTTCCAAGATCCACAACATCCGCATCAGTGACGGTGTGCTACTTGAACCAGACAGCTTCACATAATCCTCTACCATCCTTGAGTGATTCTTCAAATGACACAGGCCATGAAAAGGGTGAGCCCCCCCTTTTTATATAGCCAGATGATGTCACTATTCCCAGAAGTGCCCCCGAAAGTTGCCCACACAGAGCACTGGGCAGGACAGTAACAGCTGTCAGACACCATGACCACAGCCAGCCACATGACACCATTCAACCATCACCACGTGACATCACATGGTCTATACTTTTATAAGCATACAATTTCTTCTTGAAAAATGACTGAGTTTACTACCCTGCTTAATGATAAGAAAAGCCAAAGAAGATAGATAGTGCAGAACAAAGAAAGAGCCTGGAAGGCCCAGATTCCACTGCCCCTTCCTGGGGATAAAGCAGCATGCCCAGTTCACATTCTGTTCCCACTGATACCATGTGACCTTCTTGGCACTGAGCACCACCACACAGAAATGGGTCCCTGGACGAGGAAGCTGGTCCCCTCACTGTGCTCACCTCATATTCCTCCTTGAAGCCGTAGCCTTCCGCACATTTCATCTGGGTGATGTGCTGCAGCAGGTCTGCCACGCGGATGGCCGGGTGCAGCTGCCCCGTCTGATAGGGCACGTCGGTGGGCTCGCGCTTCTTGTAAGTGTGTGACTGCACCACGCTGCTGGTGTCGCTGGCCATCGTGTGGGTTTCATCTGAGAAAAGAGGGTTTGAAAGTGAGACTGAATCCATGGGATCAGACCCAGTCACTGACCATGCTAAGATCCTACCTACTGCTGGTGGGATCACACAACCTACGACCGCAATCATCTTTATGACGGCTTAGCCAAAAGGAAAAGTTAAACATTTGGAAATTTCAATGGGACTGGCAATACTGACTGGGATGAGGCAGAAATCTTTGTTTTTACAAAGCAGTCCAAATGATACATTGCTTCCCCAAAGTGAATTGAGAAAAGCCCACTAGCCTCTGGTGCTAAAGTTCATAGAAGTTTCCATCTGAAACTTCATCAAGGCCTGGTAGACAACCAGTCTTGTGTTCCTCCAAAGACCAGTTAACGCTTTTGTAAGATGAAGTAAATAAACTCTGCACAAATGTTCTGTGAGCAAAATAAAAGTGCACAAGATGGTTTGGCTTATAGAGCCGGCAATGACGATGGACTTAATACATGAAACCAAAGCAAAGCGTGGGAGGAAAGGTGGTCTGGCCAGGGGGAGCATGTGGATGAGCAGTCACTTTGCATGCTCTGGTATTATAAAGCTCAACAAAACACTGTGGCCTCATACACCACACGTGGAATGTTCTAATAACTAACATGCAGGCCCACACGCAACTGAACCAGCTGGCTTTGTCAGAATCTACAGGTCAAACACCCACTCCCACTCCCTCCACACCTTTCCATGGGGCAAATGGGGAACTTACCATTTATTGGCACTTTTAAGAAGATACATATCAGGAGAAAAAAGGAGGAGAAAAAGGAAACAGGGAATAAGCAATAGCACTGTGTGAACACTTACAGGTAATTTTTATTTTGTACTTTAATTTTACAGTTAAGTTTTCTATTCACAGGTGGTCAGAGGGCAAAATTTCCTCTCTCTCATCATATTAGGATGGAGGTGTTTAAGCATTTGATAATAAAAAGGAGGTTAAGATAGTGTCATGATTGCTTTTTATTCCCCATGAACCAAGTAATAACTAAATGAGTCTTATTTGTATTCAACACATTTTCTCATTTAAATGTTCTGAACAAGTCAACCAACTTGTACAACAAAATTAATATGAAAATTTGGTCAAATAAGCCTAATAGGCTATATTTTAATGGGCTACTAATAAATTAGATTAATGAGCTGTAGAAATTATAGCTATTAAAACAGTCTTATGCAGGAAAGTGTTATTAGATTCAAAATTCCACATTCTACAGGTTAACTCGTTATAATGCTGAATCCTTTCAGCCATTCTATAATTGAGGGTGTATATTATGAAAATATAATGCTAAGTCACTTGAAACGAGAATAGTTATCATATCAAACTTGATTTTAAGTATGAGGAACTCAAATATATAAGAATATATATGTTCATATATATATATATATATATATATTACAATCACCAGATTGTTTATCAATGTAATTCAGCTATGGTCACTGTTCTTTACTACGCTTAGCTCCATGGGACATTTAGTTCATGGGTCCTGGGCTAGCGGGGCCTGGTTTTGAGGCCCCATTTCTATCTGCATCGCAAAGCACCTGGGATGCATGGCATGAGAGGTGACACACAAGTGTGTAGCTGTGTGATTTTTGCTGAAATGGCACCTGGATTGCTACAAGGTGGCTAAAGACACAAAGACAAAATAAAAGAGGGCGTGGTAAGTTGAGTTTATGATTTTTTTTCCCATTTGGATTTGCTTTGACACCTAGCAATTCGTATGTTCCCCTCGGAACGGTCACAAATAAACCTGGACATTTTTCACATCAGATTATCCCTCAGGCGATGGCCAAGTAAATACACTGGGACGCAGGTCCCTGCCGATGTTCTGAGTCTGGGGAGCTTTTAGCTACTCCAGCAGAAAGGTCTGTTCTTTATACTAAAATAAATGGAACATTAATTAGTTTCCCTCCTGCGCCTCTCTCATTCTCTCAGTTTTGTGCCTTTGGGATGAACATAATCAATCCACTCTACATTGTGACTGACCTGCTCAACTTCTCCTTCAAGAAGTGGGCTTCCCCATGTATAGACCAGCATTTAACAATCCTTTTTGTCCCCAAACTAGCGGTTCTCAGAAGTGAAAATGTACAAAGCTAAAACCACTGCCAGTGCTGTGTGTAATCACTCCTCGTAGTCTTATGGCATCTTGGCCTCATCACCAGTGTGAAACATACGGGGAAGCACTGACAAACTACCAAGTCCATCTAAGAAAGAGTACGGCTCTCTAGCACATATATATCCAATGGGGACTAGGCTTCTCATACAATATCTGTTAGGCAACGGGTCAACTTTATTATTAGAAATTCTTGATTCTCCTGAAATTAATGATGAATGTTTCTTCTGAATTCCCCAAAAGAAACTATTACTGTTAAAAATTCAATTTATAATTACGTATTTCCTATATTTGTTTTTAAAAAATCACCAATTTATATTTTCAAAAAATAAGCAGGCCTTATAAGAGGAAACCAGAAATGGAACTTCTCACTAAATATTCTGATGGTTTTCTAAGAACTGAACATTGATTTTACCTATATTCTTTTTGATGTTTGTTGAATTTTCAACAAACTGGTTGAAAAAGAAATCTTTAGTTGAAGTTAATTGGATTCTACATTTTTGAGGTGAAGGAGTATATAGATCTCTATATACCCCTGTACCTCAAACACACACACACACAAATGAGAGAAGGGTATACCAAAGTGCTGTGCGTTGAGGCTAGCGTTGAGGTAGCTTGTTAGGACAGAAGGGGGTGGCAACTCAAGGCTTTAATTGTGCTACTGTCCAGTGTGACAGCAAAACAACCCTTACTGTCTCAAGTCAATGATGATCAGTACTGTCCCCAGAGAGGGCCAGCAGAGAGAGGTAGCTTTATCTTCTTCCTGTACTTCCCTGTGAAAATTTCACCAAACCCTTAAGCTCTCTCTGTGTAGGTTCAGTTTTCCAGCCAATACACCAAGAAGTAGTTTCCAAGCCCTTTTGTTGGTTACACTGACACACCCAGAATGTGTACAGAATATTAAGCTTGCTGACTTATTTTCACTACGAACATCACTTTTGCTACTCGGATGTTTTATTCAAGCAATCTTCTTGCTGTAAATATGCCTGATCAAAACCCACAACCACTAAAAGGTGGGTTGGAACTGGCTACATTTTGGTTAGCAGCCAAGCATTTTAACCAAGGCTTCTATGATGAAACAAGGCTACCCAAACTTAAACAATGCCATTCATTAGTGTTCATCACAATGAAGGGACTTTAAAAAAGGGCATTTGTTTAATAGGTTTATCTGAATCCTGCTATGAAAACTGAAATTTTTCTTCCCTTTGACAATGCATCTCTCAGCCCTCCTCTCAAAAGACTTCCCCCCACCCCCACCAAAGCCAGAGCATCTCAGGAACGGCATATGAATGTCTTGAGGCACACTGCAAATGTCTTTTATGAGTAGATTATATTGTTTGGGTGTGTAAGATTAGTCTGTTCCCCTCATTTTTGAAAAAAATAAAATTTCCGCATCTTTCACTTATACTCAGTATTAAAAAATGGGGCGGGGGTTAGGGGGCTTTGACTAGTGAACCCTCAAAATGAAGCAAATTAAAAATTGATGTCCATTCTTAAACTTCTTAAATCATTTCCCCCCATGGAAACACACTTGCTTAAACTTAGATCACACCACAACGCGGGGAACTCTTCCTCTGGACAAACATCATAACAACCTAGAGACTGGAGAAGCCCAGGCAGGAAAACTTACATCGCACAGACTGAAAAACCCCAATAGAGAGAGGAAACAAAGTTGTACGACCGAGGATGGCCCTCTTGCCACAATGAACTGTTATATACCTGGAAGTCGGTTCTGTTGTGCTCCTTTTCGGTAAGGTTAGTAGCAGAAAGAGAACACAAGCCGTGATACGCTCGGGTTATTTATGCGTCTCGGAAGCAATAGCAGCTCATGCTTAGTGTTATCATAGCCAGGTACTGCCATTTCTCTTCACCCTTCTTATATTGGACAAACGGGATTGTTTCCTTTAACCCCCTGCTGGGAACATTTCATACTTTAAATGCATCCTGCTCCACTGAGCTAACATTTCATTTCATTTCTAGTGACATCTGACACAGAATAAGCCATATGATTATAAAGTGCCATCTTGTCATTTCACCACTCAAAAACATCAGCTCCTTTGAAATTTCCCTCCGTGACAGACACTGCTGAATGCTGGGTGTTGCCCCGAGTGGCTCCAAGGATAGGGAGGGGCAAAGCACTATGTTGATATATATTTTTTTCTGCATAACATTTGGAAAATGCTAATTTTAAAATGGACATTATCAGTGCTTCACAGTAAGTGTTTCACTTTTATCAATCCACACTGGGCAGAGCTCAGCCCTGAGAACTTATTGCTGACAGTGAGTGAGGACACGCTATTTTCCCAAGTGACCTGAACTAACTTTAAATTCGAAACATAGAAAGGGACACTACTGGAGCTGGGGTTGTTTGCTCGAACTTTGGGTATCATTCCCAATATACATGCAGCAACCTCTTCTAACCATGCAGACTTTTCTAGAGAGTCTTTACATCAACCATCCCATCCCCATTGGCCACCTGCCTGTCCCATAGTGTCCTGTATCAGACAGAATAAACCGACCCTTGCCCAGAGTGGACACGGACTTTCTAAATTATTCCTGAAAGAAACTGGTAAAGGGAAATGTTCTCACCTAAAATTGCAGTTGGCACAAATGGATCTGTCATACATCATAAGCAGGTCAATGCAGAGAAAGTAAAAAAGAGAAAGAACAGTAAATGGCTGATAAAAGTTCCTTCCTCCCTCCTCCTCCCCGTAGAAAGCCATAGCAAGCATGGGTTCACATCATGTCAAATGCAGGAACAACACAGCGAGCACTCATTCGGACTGCGAAGGGGTTATGAGGAAGAAGAAAGTGGAAAAATCTGTTACCTGGGTAATAGGAATTAGGCACCGATGTGCTCAGTGTGTTTGTTTTCATTGTAAAGGAGGAAGGTGAAGACACAGCTGCAAATGAAAAGAGGGCTAGTCAGAGGCTGCAGAGGCAATACCTTGAAAGTGGTAACACGTGGTCATTTATGGGACATGCCCCTACTGGCCTAGACTGTTGAGCTGAAGAAATGCCAGAGATTTAGTGGAATCGCACGGCAGGTACTCCTAGCTGTTGCTTAATAGTTACGTGTTCTTTAGAAGACATGTGTCCTTTAATCATTTAAAGACTTCTATTTTAATGTGTAGCTTTAGTTGTATAATTCTACTATCACGTAGAACTGATTCTTACAACAAAAAGTTTTGAGAATGTGTCCATATATGATTTTTGAGAATATTTTGAATATTAAAAGTTATTATAAAGAAATGCCCAGTGGTATATACTATTACCAATAAGCCATAAAGTAGCCACATAGAAAGTCATGCAACTTTGACTTTATTTCCAATGATCTGAGCTCATCTCCAGGTATTAAATCTGCCCTTAGAATTTTTAAACACAATAAAACCAATAAACCAAACAACGATTTAGAAACGTTTCTGGTGACCCTGGAGGACAGAGGCTTGCGCTCACTTCCCACTACTTGGTGAAGCTCACATTGATGAGGTTCCAAGCTAGGCGATATGTCAGTTACTGGGAAGAAGCCACTCTGTTCCTCAAAGAACCTCAACTACTTCAGTGGTTTACTAATTCGTCTCCTTACTTTGGAAATTCAGAGAAATTAATACTATTATCATTTGGCTTATTACATATAAAGGTAATGTTATGTAAAGGTTAAAACCGTATGCTCACATATTGGCCTTAACATCCTTATGAAAGAAATGGGTTTTCTTTGAAATATTCCTTGGAAACAGCTAAGATTTAATTGTTTTATTACCTTCCTCCATGTCATTAGCATAAAAAGTCAATCCCAATCAATTTATTTTGCTCCACTGAAATTTGATATCTCCTGTTTATCAGTCTGTCAGCTCTCTTGAATGTCCTCAAACATTAAAAACACACACACCACCTCTTTAATTTCCTTAACATAAGTGCACAAATGATAGACATGCACTCCAGTCTAAATCATGCTTCCTCTAATGAAGTTCTCGGATTCATTTGATGCCAAGGTCCTGAGCAGGAGGGCAACACCCCATTCCATCACTGTGTTTGCGGGGGCACTGCCACATCCCTGTGAATACTGTGCGCCATGGTGATTCTGATGACAGCCTAGTCTGTTTCAGCTCGTCAGGCAGTTCAAGGGAGCCTAATGGTACAGTGGGCAAGCTCTGGGCAGCTTCATGAACAACTTTGCCTGCAATTCTCCTCTCCCATTTACTGCTCGCCTTGAAAGGCATTAGGCCAGTATGAAGATCAAGTTTTCCATTAGGGTCACTCCCAGGGGAGGAGATGAGACCTGTTCATTGCTCAAGAAGTGGAGAAAAATGGAAAGGCTACTGTTGGTTTTTTACTTCTGCTTTCTTGATGGGAGGCATAAAATAATGTGTCAAGCCAGATCAGCCCTGAGAGCTGATGCCCAACCTCTGAGGCACTCTTCTTTGCACGGGCATTCCGGACACATTCTCTTAAAAAAATAACTGCCAAATTAAACTTTTTGTCCAGAGGCCAATACTTCCTATTGTTCAAACTTCAAAAACCTAGAAACAATGAATGTCAATTTCTGTTCTCTCAGTGGGTCATTCAAGTAAATTTATTCCTTAGAAATATCATCATCAAATAGAAAATCTGGAACTGTAGCGGGTTATCTTCGAAAGTAAAATTCTATCATCTATCTGTGTGATTCCTTCCATGCAAACATTCAAGAATTCAAACCTGGGATGTGGTGGAGAGGATATCGACAGCCCACCCGACAACACATATGTCGGCAGCCACCTTATTTAGCCAGGGAAATAGATTATGTATATTCTTACAATTGAAAAATATGATATATTTTTCAAAATATGATATGTGATATATCTCTGCAATATAAAAGCAGAGATAATTACATTAAAAAATAGGACATACTATGAGAACTAGTGGGCATCTGAGCTTCTTTACCCTGCACTGAGAGTGGTGTGAAAGGTCAAGAACAAGTGGAAGCAATGAGAAGCAGGAGTTGTCTTGCCCACCTGTACGAGGCAGCCTTGAGCACTGTGTGTATGGGGCACAAGTGCAGGGCCCTTCTCTGAGTCCCAAGGAGGACAGCGGGGGCCGGAATAACAGAAAGGAAAATCAAAACAAAACGGAGTAAAGTCTACATAGACATGCTGAGTGTGAGACAAATGCAGTGCCTCAAGACAGGTGCGTGTCTGGGTTGTCCCCTGGCAGAAGAGACGATTGGGGTTTCCCGATTCTGGAAGGGAGCTGTGAAGTGAGGACAGGGCAGCAAGGGTTGGTCAGGGCCTATACACGGTGCCCAAACTGATACTGAAGACAATTCTGCATCTGTGACTATGGCTCACGACAATGCTGAAGATTGATGAAGGTCACAATGATGAAGGTTTGCCGGCTGTAAGCATTTAGTTTTCAGTGACAGTGATAACTGTACTTGGATTTCACCTAATTCACATCATGATGGCACAGCCCAAATTAGGTGCACTCCTTGGGCATATATGGCGTGTGGACCCTGAACCCAGCAGGGGTGTGAGTTAGAATTAGGCACCTGGCCTGGGATTTAATTCCGGTTTCTGGGAAGATCACCAGGCATAAAACAGTTGTTCTTCTTGTAATCAATCTAATTGTTAGTTTCTTAAAATACTGCCTTCTACCTGCCTGAATCACAGGTGTAGTGTGGGAAGGCATTTGGTGAGCTTAGTGTACCCACCTGGTGTGAAATGTAAGATTTGGGAAGTTGAAATACAATTTAATTTATTAATTGTCACTAATTGCCCTATAATCAAGGAAAAACCTGCCAGCTAAACAAATAAACAATTAACTTGTTACTACTATTTAGTCAACCGCTTTTTAACAGGCTTTTCGTGTGTAATTCTACACCTGGATAGCTCACGAATGAGATCTGAATGCCATCAGGATGATAAGAAGCAGGTGCCTTCCCTTTGAGAGGAGAGGCCCCCTTCCTGTCACTGCTACCTAAGTCAAATAGAAATGGATTTGTGGGGTTCCTGTGCTGGTTTGGTCATGTCTCATTTACTGTGTCCCCTCTGTGAAACCACCGATGGGACACATAGACATCTTCAGGGCTACTGAAGCGACTAGGACGAGTCCTATTGCATCGGGTTTTGCAGGGAGGTTTCACTTTCTTCATTCCCTTGTCACACGTGGGATCCTGGTAAATGAGGAAGCTGGGCTGAAGCAGAGAAAGGCCTGCACTTACACCTCCCATTCAGGTTGTGTGTGTCCATGAAGGAGAAGGCCTCATCGCAGCTGGTGCCATGCTCCGCGTAGCTCTTGTCCATGGAGTTCACCATCACAGTCATCTCCTGCCTGGTGCTGCTCATTGTCTCCTTGTGCTTCTTGGCGAGTTTCCTTCGAACAAAAAGGTCCATTAGAGACATGAAGACAGACAGGAATGGGAGTTTGGGCATGTGTATAATGTGCTCAGTGAATTAATTATATTCATTCATACATTAATGTATAGTGACGTTGAGATGCCAAACACTGCCAGGCCTCAGCTACAGACATGAAAAACATTAGCTGTCCATACGCAAAGCAGTCACACCAATATGAGAGTTTACAGTCTAGAACATCACTTCAGGTTTCCTCTACTAACGTTAAATTAAAGTTGCCAGTGATCTTAATACAACACAGCTGTAATTTGTTTACTAACACGCTGCTAAAATTCTTAGCTGTTTACTAAATTATTGTCTGCATTGTCACACTCAGGGTCAAAGAGAAGATTTCTCTGAGGGTGGATATTAAAAGGTTCACTGTACAAGTGGACAGCAAAACTAGGCAAGGTGTTCAGATCTTGTAACAGAAGGGTTTGTGGCAGGGAGTGTATGATGACAGAGCCAAGAAAGGACAAGGGACTCGGGATTTAAGAGAATCACGGGGGGCCTTGAATGGAGGGGGTGTCTGATACTGTACTAAATCTCAGATGAACCAACACTAGCTCCCTATCGAAGGCTGAGCAGACTGAAGAGCAGTTATGCTGCTGGGTCCTTGGCAAACCTCCCACGCGGCGAGTAAGGCCCCACTGCTCCCTCCCTTGGTGGAGCTGAGTGCACAAAGCTTCCGATAGCGGAAAGGTGTCCAATTATTTTGGAGACAGAGTTCAAATCTAGTCCATGCAGCCTGCTCACTAACCCCCCAAACTCACAATCTAAAGACACCTGTGTACAAGCCATGACAATTTACTACAGACTGGCATATACATGAACAGGTAAAACATGTTTTTACACATCTTTTCACCAAGGTGGTCAGGTTATGCACTCAAAATGAATAACAGAATTAGATGCTTATGGAGAAGGTATAAAGGTATCAAAATACTATGTCCTAAAGTGTTCTAATCCTACCTAAATGCAAAGCAGCATGAAAAAAAAAAAAGCATGAAAATGGCACCTAGTGAATCATTTTGACTATGACTGAAGCAGAGACTCAGCAGAATTTCAAATGAATCATATAATCAAATTCACCACCGTATTAGGAGATCATTAATGCAATGTAGACAATTACAACATTAGCCCATAGGGATAATCTTTATTGTCATTTCCAAATGCAACATAATTCAAATACTTTCTTGCCTATACTTATAATAATATTTGATTTCATACTTTGAAGGCAGAGGGGTTTCAATAATACATGGGCATTTTTTAAAAACATTTTATTAGGGGCTCATACAACTGTTATCACAATCCATACAAATATCAATTGTGTAAAGCGCATTTGTACATCATTCTCAAAACATTTTCTCTCCACTTAAACACCCGACATTAGGTCCTCATTTTTCCACTCCCTCCCCGCTCCCCCCCCGCATGAGCCCTTGATAGTTTATAAATTGGTATTTTGTCATATCTTGCCCTGTCCGATGTCTCCCTTCACCCACTTTTTGGTTGTC